CCAGAAAATTTTAAATAGTGGTTGCATGATGACAAAATTTAAGACTGGGTGATGGCAGTTCCTGGGGATATGACCAAAGCTCGTTGTAAGAACTGCAAATGTGAAATTAAAGCGGAAATACAAAACTCAAAGAGTCATGCGGAGACTAAAAAGCATAAAACTGCAGTTCCATTCAAAGATATTACACCGCTGACATCTGTTTTCAGAACTACACTGATAAATGAATCATCAAAAGTTGAAGGGTCGGTCGCAATGTTTTTAAGTTGCCATTGTGCAATTTCAAACTGTGACCATTTGATTGATTTGTTTAAAAACACAATTTCTGACAGTAAAGTTAGGGATTTTAGTCAAAATTTTTATTTTAGGTTTTTTACTTTTAAACCAAGACAGCTGAATAGAGGTTGAAAAACTGAGTCCAACGGTACCTCAATGAAGTCTGTATGTCAATTCTAAGCGGAGATATTGCCATTTCAGTGACGGAAAGTACCCTCAAAAAATTATAATGGAAAACACAGAAACAAGATGGCGGCGTGTTCCCAAGTGAAAACTGGACCTAAATTTATCATGTTTAATGTCAATAACTCTCAAGTTTTTTGCTGAACCCCTTAGCAACCATATGTCATTGCTTTCAGGACAGCAAGCTCTAACTAAAGTTGTTGCCTTTTTAAAAATATGATGTGATGCAAACCTAAATAACATAAAAATGAGTAAATTTATCAGTATTCATTAAATACCTTATGAATTAATTATTATTAATTATCCAGTGAGTCTTGCAAGACTTATACTGTAATATATATATATATATATATACTTTTATATCTATTCTTCCTGTTATGATGCATCTTTTTCTATTTGTTGAAAAATGATTTTTCTCGCACTCTCATTTGTGTGTGTGTGTGTATGTTTGTGTGTGTGCATACATCATCTGACCGAAATTTGCTTTATTCCACTGTTTAAAAAAATATTTAATAGCGAGTGGATTGACTTCATTGCATCGTTACTGATTTTATATGGCTTTGTCTTTCTCCACAATACTGAACAAATAACGCATGCCGAGAGCTTAGCACAAAGCCTGGATACCGTAGCTCCAGCAACAGCCCTCAGAGGTCTCCGCTAACCAAAAAAATGCATTTTCGAGTCGAACAATGCAGTTGTAAATGAACGTACAACAATCTTCCGAGCGCGAGGTTAACGGCTTGACCACTTTGATACGGAGACCCCTATATTCCTATATTGTTTTATAACCAAGTGAAAATGAGCGCCCCTCTTACTGATTTAACATAATCCCTTTTTCAATCTTTGCGAGTTATTCTTTCATTTTATTGATGATGAGACAATTCACCACATTATTCCCCTCTTCTTCTTAACTAGTCACTGCTTGATATTTTATTTACTTGTTCAAAATAATCGAAGGTAACCGCTCATGCCCGATTTGTGACTCAGTGCTATGTTTTTCATGGAGTAAAATTATTAAATAAGCTCCTTTGTAATTCGCTTTGAATTTATGTTGTGTTTTCATGGAGATGTAATTCGCTTCGGATTTATTTTGTGTTTTCATGGAGCAGCATTTCATAAGGTAAGAGGAAAAATTACATTATATTTTATTAACTTATCTATGTCCTACGTGATCTGTGATTAAATATTATTAATCATAAGTTGTAAGTAAGTGAATTTATTCACTTGAAAATAATATAATATATTATTATTAATTTTATTAATCAACTTTCTAAATCATCATCTATAAGTCAATACTTCAATTTTAAAACAGTATCAATCATAAATAATAACTGTTATTTATACTATTTAAGACAATAAATATGCACCACAAAATCATAGTGCAGAAATGTGTGGCAGACATTTTTTTTAAATGTCAGTCTGGGTGCGGGGAGTGGGGGTCAACAGGTAAAAAGGCTTCAAACAGGAACTATGATTCATGCCAAATGATAGGTTATGGCTTAAAAAATGCTATAATGGCTAAAGATTCAAAAAATGATTAAATAACTACTTTATGTTCATTTAAAAGTATAATAAAAAAATATTGAAACCACTGTCTGCGTCCAAAATGTCAGTCTGGGTGCGGGGAGTGGGGGTCAACAGGCAAAAAGGCTTCAAACAGGAACTATGATTCATGCCAAATGATAGGTTATGGCTTAAAAAATGCTATAATGGCTAAAGATTCAAAAAATGATTTAATAACTACTTTAATTTGATTTAAAACTATTAATATAAAATGTTTAAACCACTGCCTGTGTCCATTTTCAACGCAAAAATACCCTAGAAATAGTCTATGTTAAAAACGTGCTAAAACATCATTTTCAGGTATTTAAATTTATTAAAACTCATGTGAAATTGAAGTTAAAGAAAGGTAAATTATTAATACAAATAAAACTTGCATTATTTTTGAACTGTTTTTATAAATAAATAACTAGATTAATTAATCTGAGATAAACAGTTCGTTTAGGCCACGCGGTAGCCATTTTGAGAAATCTCCGATTTAGCTCTAAGAAGTGACTGGGAAGAAATTGAAACTGTATATCTTATGAAGTACAGATTCCAGCAAAACTGCCCATCCTTACGTAAAAATGGACACAGAATCTAAAAATGTCATTTAATAGTATTTAAGTTCACTTTAAAAAGGAGATATTGAAGAAATTTACTTGGCATATGACAAATAGTGAAATTTATTACGCTCAATAAAGACCGCTATTCAATTTAGGCGTCGTTTGATAGAGTACCCTCTTTTGAATGACGAAGAGCGCATGTCATCAATTCTGAACTGCTAGAATCGCAATCAAAAAAATTAATTTATAATTCGTTATGAAACAAAACATTTTTACGAGTCCGCCGATCCCTCTGCGCACCAAACTGCGCAACTTTCGTTTTGACTTTGTTTACATTGGAGATCGTTATCTCTAGTAAAGTTATTGATGATGTGAAAATGCATCACAGCAAGTGTACACATTTTATAAGAAATACTTTATTTTCTCACTTCGAAAAAGATTTGATCAGTGATATTTCTACAAATAAATATAGTTTATTATTAGACGAATCAAATGATATTTCGGTACTGAAAGTGCTTGGTGTGTGTATTATATATTACAGCAACAATACAGACAAAGTAGTTTCTACATATCTTGGACTAGTTCAATTGGAAAAGTGTGATGCAGAAAGTATAGTTCAAGAACTGAAGAAACTTTTAATCAGCAAACAGTTAGACTTGACAAATTTGGTTGCAATTGGTACCGACAATGCCTCAGTGATGGTTGGCATAAACAATGGCGTTTATGCCAAGTTGAAGGAAGCTATCCCATCGTTAATACTTATAAAATGTATGTGTCATTCATTGCAGCTACCATTAACAAATGCTTCATCTGAATGTTTACCAAGGAATTTGGAATACCTTATTGCTGAAACACATAACTGGTTTTCAAAATCATTTGTCAGACAACAGCAATACAATGCATTGTATTCAGCCTTAAATAATGGTTCCACACCACTGAAAATTCTGTCAGATTGCAAAACCATGTGGTTATCAATACAACCAGCTGTTGAAAGAATTGTGAACCAATGGTTGAAGTTAAAGACACACTTTGAAATAACAAGACAAAGTGAAAAGTGCTACACAGCTGAGATACTATATGGAATGTACAGTGATGAAACAAATTTGGCATTCCTTCTCTTTTTACAACCTATTCTAATGGAAGTGCAAAAAGTTAATAAACTGTTCGAATCCAAACATGTTGATAAAGTTAAATTACTTGACGATCTCACTTTGCTATTTTACTCAGTTGGTAAAAGACTGGTGTTGCCAACTTCAAAAGTTGATTTGCTCACTTGCACTACAGAGAGCTATTTGGCTCCTAAGCCATACCTTGGATATCAAATTGAATCAAAAATTGATGATTTAAAAACAAAAGGACTGTTAACAGAGAATGAAGAGAACAACTTAAGAAAACGCTGTCAAGATTTCCTTATCTCATTGTTCAAGCAACTAACGCAGAGACTTCCTGAAAATCTAGATGTTTTGAAAAATATTTCACTCTTTTCTGTGAGCAACATACTTCAGCTAGTAAAGGACATACCTAAATATTGTAAAGTTATGAAATTTTTAGGGGCTACTGACAATAGTGTCGCGGGAGCAGAATATCAGTTAACCAAAATAAACTTAGTTGAATGGACAAACAAAACAGAAACTGAAGCGTTTTGGAGTGAAGTGAGACAATTTAAAGATGCCTCATCAAACAGTCCATTCTGTAAACTCTTTGAATGTGCCATGTCTGCCATGATACTACCCCACTCAAATGCTGACGTAGAAAGAGTTTTCAGTGCTATGAATTACATCAAATCTAACCTAAGAAACAGGATGAAATTAAACCTCTTAAATGCTATCTTGACAATAAAGTTTGGCCTGATGAGAGTAGGAAAATGCTGTTCCACTTATCAGCTCCCTGATTGTGTATTAAAAGAAATAGGAACAGCTAAAGCATACCAGAGTAATTTGGGATCTGAAGCTTCAACTTCATCATCCAAGCTAAGTTTATCCTGTGGATCTTGTGAAGCAGACATCAGTGAAGATGAGGACATGCGTCTATAGGGTAAGTCATTTCAATAGTTTTGTAATTTGTGACTCTTTTCATTTGGATATTTTTTTTAAATATTTTCCACGCAAATTTAGATCTTTTTAGATATTTTTTTACCCTGTTTTGGATCTTTTTTGTCAAAGAAAAGTGGCAACACTGGTTGATTCTTAAATTCGGTAATCAGTTGTAATTTACAGCTAGGCTGCGACATCTGCACCTTTCGCCCAACACGTCCGGTTTTAGGAAACCCTTAATTAGTCGCCTGTTACGACAGCTTTTTAGGAGGACAGTGGGTTTATTCTCCAATTCCATGACCCACTTGGGTCCGAGAACCCACTTACCAAAATAAAGCAATAGACTTGGATACTGGACCAACTAGTTACCACTTATAAATGTGTCACGTGACAATAACATAACAAAATGGCGACAAGCATGGAGGGGAATCGGGTGTTGGTTCTAGGAGGTAATTTTAATAATGAGATGTAGCAGAAATATTATCAGTGTTCTGTTTGTCACAGAAAATTTGGATTTATTGCAATTTACAGAATTAGATGAACGTGGTAGGAGTTAAGGTCTTATTACTAATATATAATAGTATGATTAATTAATAAATAATAATAAAGGAAGGAAAGGATTCAAACCGTCAAAAAGTTCAAAAACGGGAGTGGAGAGATCCTGTTAGATCATAGATTCAGTAAAGACGGATAGTTGCGAAAAGCCGTTTACTGCCGTAAGTTATTTTTGTTCTAGTTAATTGCAGATGTTCTGCAAGCAAAGTCTTATCTCAGAGTAGCTGCAGACAAGAAGTACCTCCTATGAAGCCCTGGGTAGATCTAAGGGTCACAGACTGAAAAGAAGAAGGCCTTGGATGGTGCAAGCTGAAGATACAATCAGGACTTCTGAGCAGGCTTGATACATTTGTGCGAGATGAGGAGTGGGTCAGTGTCAGAGCAAGTTTCAGACTTGTGTAGGCGTATGGTTCTTATCACTTTGGGTCATGAGTGCAGGGACTGGCCAGCTGGCGCTGCAGAATGAGAAGTTCAGCAAAGGGCTATCCTCCGAATAACAACAGGCACATATTATGTCGGCCACAAAAACACCCTAACAGAGCCTCAGTCACGTGTCAATTGCGCACTTCCGGCAACCTAATTTGCGAACTTCTGCGGACTACCGCAACCGCGTGAGCGGCGTGGATTGGGGCTAAACTAGATGGCTGGGACTCAAGAGCAGCAGCTTCCGCATCCCCTGCAGTTTTGCTCATGAGTCCCAAAGAAATTATTCATGATCATTTCCGCCCAAGTGATGTGATTATCTATGCAGTTAAATATTGTTTTGGTCCATAAGTGGATTTGTTATGATTTTTGTGTGTGGCTGGTATGAAAATTTTTGGCTCTTCTTTGAACTTCGTCCGCATATTATGGTGGCCAAACAAATACCCTAACAGGGCCTCAGTCGTGTGTAAAATGCGGACTTCCTCCGACGAACACATCACGGCAAAACTACGATTACTGTCTCTTGACAGTTTCGAGAAACACAACAATACACACGATTATAGCTAAATGGCGGGGGGACCACACGATCTGACACAGGTTAGCGATAGTGTTTTTCCAATTAAACTCACCGCTGAGCTTATCCCCCACGCCGCTACGCGTGACGAGGATGGGGGGGCTAAACTAGATGGCTGGGACTCACATGCAACAGCCACCGCATCTCCTGCAACTTCCTCCAATTGATTTGCTTATGAGTCCCAGCAATCTAGTTTAGCCCACAATCCATGCCGCGCATAGCTGCGCGGGGAATACTGTCGGCAGAATCGCAGAAACAAGTCCACAATTAACAAATCGCTGTTTGCCCTCAATAATATTGACCTGTTATACAGAGGCAATCCTAGTTTTGCTGCAATTTGTTCCTCTGCAGGCACTCTGCAATTTGCATATGACTGAGGCTCTGTTAGGGTATTTGTTTGGCCGCCATAATATGGGGAAAAAGTTCGAAGGAGAGCCCAATTTTTTTTTAATTTAACGAGAAAATTTTGTTAGGAAACCAAGTATGGGGTCTTTGGAATTTATTTTCTAGGTTGCCAGGGTAAAAATGTTAAACTGCATGGCTAGTGGCAGAAAGTTTTTTTTTACAAAAGAATGAACCCAATCGGTTGTTTCAAGGTTTTTCTGTTGCCTCACTTCAGTAAGAGGTCTCTGTGGCGAAGTGATTCAGCCGTTTGTATCATGATCTAAGGATTATAGATTTGATTTTGGGTCCTCTTCTTGTTTCCTGGCCCATCTACACACTACTTGACCTTTCATTAATACTGTCTCAGACTCTTCTATGTCGGACCACTGTCACGTTGTCTTCCCTCCAGTTACATCAGGACAGATGTAGCGTGTTCTTTACTACACAACCATACAGCTTTCAGTGACCCCAGAACACGTAGAACTGACCCTAACCCAAACCCCCCAACCCACAGCCTTAACTAGGTCACACGAGAGACTCTTTTTGAGGAAAGCAGTACAACCTGACACCCCTCTGACCTAGGTCAGACTGAGAAAGTGTAGATGGGCCGGGAAATGTGAACAGGTCCTGATTTTGTATTCCACCCTTTTGTTCATAGGTGAATATGTTTCTTAGGTACCTGAGGGTTGTTGCTAGAGCCACAAAGTTTGTGCTTTGTGCAACACTCTCGCAGGTGACCAGCTGCTCTGTGGAGAGGTACCAAGCGATATGGGTTAAAATCTAGCACAATAAAACTATGGGGGATGAAAAGCAGAAGAAGAAAGGGAGGCTGATTTATATTTCCAGGCAGTCATAGGTAATCTTTTTATTTTTCTTCAACAGGAACAGGATTTATAGGCAGAAACCTGGTGGATTACTTAGTGAGAAACAACCTAGCCAGCAAGGTATATTGAATTTCTATGTATGCATTTTCTCTCTGAGCATTAGGTATTTCTTTGTATTCTTTCTTTCTCTGAGTATTGAGGATCTCTTAATATACCTTTTCTGTCCAACGCCTCTCATCTCATCACATGACCAAACAGTATTGGTTCCTATTTTTGTTTTTGTATATGTGTGTTGAATTAAGAATCAGTATAACAGCACTCATTGGCGTCTGTGGTTTAGGCATTGGAATACGCTTTGTAATACCGGATTGGATCCCAGCTGCGGACTTGTCTTGCGTTGGTTTCAACAGTGGTACCGAGAGCTGACCATTCAGGAACCAGTGGCAAACTACTGAACGTAAAATTTGCCTAGAAAAACCACAACAGCCAAAATGATATGGTTAGATCTGCAACATCCTGTAAAGGATACTTAACTAACTTAAAAATTACAGCACTCAGGACACTCCCATAAGCACTCTGTCCCCATCTTCTGCAGCAGGCGAAGAGTTCCAGCTCTGATGGTACCAGTATATATCTGATTGTACATCCATTTCGCCTTTCCCTTGAATGCTGAGCGTCGGCCAAATCCCCTGATAACTCCTACATTGCCATTCTCCTGACACTATCATGATCTGTTTGTGCCTTTGCTCTGTTCACTCGCTCCCATAGGGCCCTCCCAACATCTAGCTTGTCATACATTAGTTTACATTTGTTCGATCCCAGCTGTGGGCGATTTGGTAGCTGACAGCCTTGGTTTCAACAGTGATATAGAGAGCCATAGCTCACTACTATACGTAAAATTGCCGGGGTTGGTTCTGCACTGTCCTGTAAAGAAAACGCAGCTACATTTTTTTAACAGTACAAACTTAGTTCTAATCCCATCAGATTTTTTTTCTTTGTACTGTGTAAAATCATGATCTTGAACTGCCCATGACATACCACCATAAATTAGTTTTATTAGAGAATTAATTTTTATTTAAAATAATCTTTATTACTTAAAAAAAAATATGTCCAGCCTGTTCTTATCATTGGCCTGTAAAAAACAGATTTCTGCAGCTTTCACATAAAATTGCCTAATTGGCTGACTGTCTTTGATGAGACTTCATCATCATCGAGTGCCTTGCCGACTGGCATGGGCGATGATGTCTCTCCACAATCCGTGGTCCACGACTGCATGCATCTGTTTGTATGTTGACACCTTTCCACGTCATGACAAAACTATGTCAAGAATCTTCTTGCGCTGTCTTCCTCTGTCTCTCTTTCCACAGATCTTTCCAGTGTGTCACAACATATTCCAGTTTCTCTTTTCTCATAACATGACCAAAAAAGCGATGAAGGATCACGTCTGCAGTAGATAATTTCACTGGTCCTACATGCACCTGAGTGATATTTAATAGAATTGAATATCACTATAATAACTCAATGATGTCAAATTTTCCAATAAGCCTCAGTGATAGAGGTTATGGGGTCACGGATTGGATCATCCTATACTTTTTTTAGGAAATGAATTCCGTTTTAGCTTCGCTGTTTTATTGATTGCCTATTTATCTTCTTCTTCCTTCTTCTTTTATCTTTTGGAATGCCTCGCAGCTTCAGGGCAGGAAGAAATCTCTGGAACAGGCCTTTTTGTTTGCTTTGTATAAAGTAATTTTTTAGTGTTTCTGATATTTCTGCAGATATTGCCCCTTTATATATCTATATAGTTTGAATTTGTTTTATTTTTAAATATATATAAATAAATGTTTTAAATGTATTAGGGGCCTGTAAGATTGTTTTTTAAAGGATTCTTGCCCAAAATTCCTAACATTCACGAGGCAAAAGTGTAGAGGCATGACCAGAGATCACTGAAGAAGAAGAAAAAGCACTGGATATGTGAACTTCTCCTCCGCTGTGACACTTGTTTTGAATGTAAGAGATACTTGAAACCACTACTTGAAATAAACCACTTAATGAAGCGGTGCTTGGAAGCAGATCTGATATGCACTTTGCAGACACGGCTGTACATGTAGCTGGGTTTATCACCATGTGACAGGTCTGTTGAAAATTGCCATCTTATCCCAGCCCAGCCCTATCCTGTGTGGGTTCCGGGGCCCCACTTTGGGGGGAAAAAGAATAGACCCACTGCCCCCAAAAATAATGTCACACAAGGCGACTAATTAGGGGTGTTTTCTTCGAAGTCACAGCGCGTTTGCCTGGGAGGCAAGAAACCAACAGTCTGTATAGAAATAAGCCAGATCTGTAAAACTGTGCATGCAGAACTGAAGTTATAGAACAAAAAGTTCAGAAGTGGACGAACAACCAGAACTTTCCACCAGAGTTTACAGCTGGTGAATGCTAAAGAAGAAGAAGAAAATCCCAACCCTGTGGAAGACGTGTCCTTTGCCAGCTTCTTTTTTGATCCTTCTGTCAGAAAAACTTATGTCAGTGGGGTTGTAGCCTTGTTCAGAGCTATTGTGCAGTCCAGATTTCTCTGTGGGCCATACAGCCTTGTCTTGATTGAGGATGAAACAGGCCAGATGGCCTCTCTGTTAGCCAGAGTTGTGAAAATGGTGGGGGTGGAGGGGATGTGACGTAGTTGACGGAAAGGAGTGCAAAGAACAACCTGGAATGACATCATCAAGAAATGGACACGACTGAGTTATCATACACATGTTCAACAAGCGAAAGACAGAGAAAGATGGCGGGTCGTATGTGCTAGTGCTTCCATCGATACAGGGTCAAGGGTTATGTTATATCATAATGTGAAACGGGACATTACTTTAAAAAAAATGAAATGCTAGGATCCACACGTAAAACTATTTAATCATGGCAGTCGTTTTTACCCTGAGCTGAATCTCTCAAGAATTTATGATTTGAGATATTCAAAGATGGTTTGGCCACCTGACGAGAATGCCCTGGTACCAGCTGCTACGGAGAGTCACGCTGAAAAAATATAATGAACACAGAGCAAGGGGAAGATCACGCAAGAGATGGAGCGACACCTTCACGAGCAACCTAACAGAAATGAACACCAACTTGTACAATGCATTGGAAAAAGCGCACAAATGATCCTTACATCTCCCCCCCCCCCCCCCCCCCCCAACAATTGCTGAGGTAAATGGTGGAAGAGAAGAAGAAGAAAAAGAAGACATTAAAAGCACAACTGTTTCTGTTCGTTTTTCCAGGTTCGAGTAGTTGACAAAGTCCCGCCCCAGATGGCCTGGCTAAATGCTAGACATTTAGTAAGTTTGATTGTTCTTGTATCTTTTGTTTTGCCGTGCTGTGATTTCACTGCCTGTTTTATTTGCTACTTGATATCCATGTCGACATCCTAGCAATTCTTGCTCCGTTCCTCCATGCAGCAGCCATCTATCTGTCTTCGTGCTGGACGTACCCAATAGGAATTCTTCTTCTTTGTTCATAGGCTCTAAGCTCTGCTGGAAAGTCCTGGTTGTTCATTCATTTGGACTTTGGTTTCAAGCCAGGCCTGAGTTTCGCGTGTACATCTGTTTTACTGGATTTTTTGTGTCCAGTTTGTTGTTCCTTGCCGCTCGGGCAGATGCACTCCGACTTCAAAGGAAGTCCCCAATTAGTCAACTCCTATGACATGCTTGTTGGGGAGGCAGTGGGTCCATTCTTGTTATCCCACAATGGGGCCTCAGAACCCACACAGGGAAAATAGGAATTGATTGACATGTCTCCTTTCTTTGCCCGCAACTGGTTTCTGCTTGCTTGTCCTTTTTAATCTCCAACGGGCATTTCATCATTACTGACTCTGGTTAAGGGGGGGGGGGGGGGGGGGGGGGGCACTGCTCCCTTAAATAGCATGCCAGAAAAAGCGAATGATAATGGGTGTTTCCTACACAGTGTATCTGCCAACAGTCTTCATTTTATAAGCCGGATCTGTAAAAGAGATGTGCATACAAAACACGAAGAAGAAGAAGACAGTGAGCCTGGGTCAAAAATAAAAGCCTATAAAATGTAAAAGGTGGGGATTTGAACCTGTGATCATGGGGCTAGCAGGCTAACATACTAGACAGCGCTCTGCCTTAACTATAGTGATGATGTTTTTGACATTCTGTTTTAAAGATTTGTTGTTGTTTTTCTTCCTGCAGGAATCATTTTCCAGTCCAGTTGTTGAGTTTAAACATTCCAATCTTATTAACAAAGGTGAGCCCTAAATACATCACAAACTGTGGCTTAAAAAAACCCTCAACTGAAAAAATGGAAAAGAAGGCCCCCCCCCCCCCCCCCCCCCCCCCCCCCCCCCCCCCCCCCCCCCAAAAAAAAAAAAAACCAGCTGAACTTTTGAGTACTAGTAATAACAAAAAGTACAAACTGACTAGGAAATTGGTACAGCTGGCCGCAAGATTTTGTAGGGGATTTCCGGTACACTCCACCACCGACGACGAGTTTGAAAATACACCTTTTATTTTAATATCTAAAATTCCCCTGCAGTACTTTTTTCTTGCCCACAGGCGCCTTTGGCACCTGAGACCTGCTCACAACAACAGCACACTCAAGAAACAACAGACGTTCACAGAAAATGTAACAGTGTGATGACTGCTTCAAGCGAACCCTAGCCACTTGTTGGCACTTTGCAAATAGACAGTGAAGGAAGACATCTCATACCACCTATTGAACATAGGACAACTCATGGAAACCACCACGAAATCTCTCGGTCGACAAGATGGGGGGGGGGGGGGGTCACTTTCGTAAGTAGTACCGAAAATTCAACATTCAAGAAAAGAGAGTTTGTAAACAGCCAGGGTCAGCATGAAACCAGAGATGCCTAATAGAAGATAATAAATACATGAAGGGCTTATACTGCCCACACAGTGCCTGTAATTTATGCTGATTTAACCCTGTCACTCAAACAAAATGGGTCATGATTTGTGAGAAAAATCCTTGGGGAAAAAACAAAAACATTTTTCGCAAGTTACAAAATTTTTTAACATTTATTTAGATTACAATTTTGTATTTTCAGATGTCCTTTACAGCATTTTGTAAAACCAATCCCAGCATTTTTTGGCAGTTGTGGTTTTTCTAGGCAAATTTATGTCCAGTAGTTTGCCATTTTTTTTCAGGGTGGTCGGCTTCTCGATACCACTGTCAAAACCATTGCAAGGTGCAAGGCCTGCAGCTGGGATTGAACCCGGCAGCCCGGCATTACAAAGCATGTTTGCAACGCCTAAGCCACAGATGCCAACATTCTTAGATATCTAAAATGTATAAAGGGAGAAATCAGTGAACACAAATAGAGTGGAGCATTAATTGGAATATATATTCCCCTGTGTGGGTTTGGGGCCCTATTATAGGGAAAACTAGAATAGACCCACTGCCTACCCAAAAGCATGTCAAAAGAGTCGACTAATTGGGAGCTTCCTTTAAAGTCGGAGTGCATCTGCCTGAGAGGCAAGGAACCAGCAGTCTGCATACAAATGAGTCAGATCTGTAAAATGGATGCACATGCAACTCTCAGGTTCTGGAACAGGACTGCAGTCTAGAAGTGGACGAACGACCAGAACTTTCCGCCAGAGTTCACAGCTGGTTAACGCGAAGAAGAAGAAGAATTGGAATATATTTCCTGGGGCCTAAAACATTTTGCTGCGATTCATGCTATGACCTCATGAATTCTATCACTGAGACTTACAGGAAAATTTGGCATCAGCTTGGTTTAAAAAGGTCATTTAGTTCACACAAATGCATCCGTAATTACTATTTTTAGCTTATATATTTGTTACGTCAAGCCTCTTCTTTTGTGTGGCAGTGAGTCTTGGAATGTAAGCAAACAAATTAAGAAGAGTTTGGAGGCAACTGAGATGTGGTTCTTGAGAAGAATGTTGCGAATACCTTGGACTGCCAGAATAGCTAACAATGATTGCCTGGAAATGGCTAATGAAAGTAGAACATTGTATACAACAATGAGAAGGAGACAAACAAAGTTCTTTGGTCATGAGATGAGAAAGGGAGCACTGGAAAATATTGTGGCCACTGGAGAGATCACTGGTAGAAGAGGCAGACCAAGAAAAATAATGGTGAATGGCTTGAGACGGCACGGAGAATATCACCAGTGGAATTAATCTAGAACACCAAAAACCGAGATCTTTGGAGATGCGTGGACGCCTACACCAGCTGGCAAGGCACTTGATGATGATGAGCTAACATATTAATATCCTGACTTCCTAAACTCGTAAACATGTCACTGTGGAAGAGTTGGAAAAGTGAGGTATATCCACGCTATGCTCCTCATCAGAATCTTATCAAGTGAAACTACAAAGTTTATGCATAGAGTTAGTTAAAGTAATTGCTGCTTGGAATATAAAGAGTTAAAAAAAAATGTATGGAGCAGGTTAACCAGTTCAAATACCTTGGAGTTGTATTAGACCGAAATGGGAGCATTAAGACTGAGCTGGCTACACAAAAAGCAGCTGCTGGGAGACTCTTCCAGGCCATAAACCGAGGGTTTCTAAGCAAAAGAGAAATTGGCAAAAGGACGAAAATGGCTGTTTACCGCTCTACCTATGTACCAGTCCTGACCTATGGGTGTGAGTCATGGGCAATGACAACAGCTCACAGAAGCCAGCTGCAGGCCTCGGAAATGAGATATCTGAGAAAGGTGGTCCAAGTGACAAGAAGGGACAAAGTCCGCAATCAGACAATACGTCAAGATCTTGATACCCAGTCCTTACAAACCCGAGTGGATCAGTCACAGTTACGATGGTTTGGACATGTATGCAGAATGAGAGAAAATCGGCCACCATGGCAGGCATGGGAGGCTAATAACCAGGGAACCAGACCTCCAGGACGACCCAGGGTGCGCTGGGAAGACAACATCCGACAGTCCCTAACTGACAGAGGAATTGAATGGAACAAAGCCAGAAAGAAAACTGCTGATAGAGACGTCTGGCGATCTCTCTGGCAAACCTCTACACCCCAAGGTAGAAGAGGAGCGACTAAGTAAGTAAGTAAAAAAAATGTAAATTCTACTTTCTTTTTGCAGCTTCAGCTGAAAAAGCATTCTGTGATGACGAGGGTGTGTTCAACATTGTGGTAAATCTGGCAGCAGAGACTAAATATGGCCAGAGTGAACTAGTGAGTACTGGATTGGGTGGTAATATACTTTTTTTTATCAAAAGTGGGGCAGCCATGGTGCTTATCAAAAGTGGGGCAGCCATGGTGCTTGTCAGAAGTGGGGCAGCCATGGTGCTTATCAAAAGTGGGGCAGCCATGGTGCATATCAAAAGTGGGGCAGCCATGGTGCTTATCAAAAGTGGGGAAGCCATCTTGAAACTCTCATTAAACAGAATAAAAGAATAATCAAATCGATCAGAAAGCCACCAAAACTGGCATGGGATGATTACCATAATATGGGCAGACTAGAGCGAGTCGTTATTCTACGCCTTAGAACAGGGCACAGTCGACTTCGCAGCCACATGTATACACATTTTAAGAATGGCGAATCAGACATCTGTACATGTGGATTGGCACCTCCTTCAAGACTGTCCCAAACACAGCATATTCAGGCAAAACTTGGGGCCTAGAGAGACACTAGTGAAAGCCAAACTTTACAGGCCACTAAGTGAATTACAAAAGACAGCGAAGTTCATATTAGAGACAGCATTGCAGATACAGATAATTTATTTCAAGCGAACGAAAGACGAAGAAGAAGAAAAAAAACTCTCATTATGATATTACCTTGTTTGTCTGCATCATGGTGTCATTTGGTTAACACTCTTGACATCATTACCAACAATATTGACAGGTTATAAGACAATATCCTGGTTTTTGTGATTTCTGTCACACTTTTAAGGTGTTTATTTAAAGTGTTATTTTATTGAATTCTGGATATTAGCAAACTGATTTCCAGGTATAATATAATTGAATTCTAGGTATTATCTAATTGAATTGTTTATATTATCTAACTGAATCTATTGAATTCTAGATATCATCTAATTGAATTGTTTTTATTATCTGAATCTATTGAATTCTAGGTATTATCTAGTTTTATTCTTAGTATTATCTTATTGAATTCTTGGTATTATCTAATTGATTTCTTAGTGCTATTTAATTGAATTCTAGCCATTATCAAATGGCATTCTTGGTATTATCAGAGTGCATTCTTGATATTATCTTATACACTATATTATTGAATTCTAGGTGTACAAAGAAGGCATTTACAAGCTGAGCATGAACTGTGCGGAAATAGCCGCTCAGCAGAAGGTGCGCAGATATGTGGAAGTGTCTACGGCTCAGGTGTATGGTAGTGAAAAGGTGAGATTATAACCTTAATACAGTTAGCCCCATCATTCCGAAGGCTAAAGCTAGTCATTTCCGCTGGTGACATCGTCATTTCCGCTGGTGACATCGTGATCATTGTGCAACAGGGGTCCTGTTCACAATTCCAGGCCCATCTACACACCACCTGACCTTTTGTTCATACTTTCTCAGACTCTTCTACGTCGGAGGGGGTGTCACGTTGTCTTTCCTCCAGTTACATCAGCATCGATGACGCATGTTCTATACTACACGAAGACAGAGCTTTCAACGACCCCAGAACATGTACAACTGACCCTAACCCAAACCTACCCTACCCACAACCTCAACTTAGGTCACACGAGAGACTCTTTTCGAAGAAAGCAGTACAGAATGACACCCCTCTGACCTAGATCAGACTGAGAAAGTGTGTAGAAAGGCCTGGAAACGTGAACAGGTCTGTAACAGGTTCTTTGCAGAATTTCAGTCATCGTGGTCTGCTTGAAAGATGCGTAGTCTCTCGCCAGCACTCCCACCCTGAGCACATTCCTGCCCAAGGAGTCATTTATATCCTGTACCCGTCTTCATGCTGGTCGAGCCCTGGCCCTCCCTCCTTGCACCATGCTTTCAGCTGTTATTTTTTTTTTTTCTCAATGCGCCGTGGCATTTTGTATGGCAAAATTATTTCAGCTTCGGTGACAAGATGCTGTTTATTAGCCAATCTTTCTCGATGTTCACATTCCATTTGTAACACAGCTCCATAAATACAGATATCTCACCATTTCTACGTTGGTCTGTTCTTGAAAAGTGTAGTTAAATGCCCTTGGTTCTGTGTGTGTGTGCGCGCGTGCCTGGGTGGGTGTGAGTGAGGGAGCGTGCGTGCGTGTGTGTGCCTTTTTAGCATTTAGGAGGCCCAGGTGTAAATTTTTTAACTTAATGTAGAGGGGCTTTCTTGTGAATCCTTTCTTAAAGCTAGGGTGACTTTTGCAATGGCTCTCATGGCTGTAATCGTATACAGTCTATTCTGACACATTTTCGAGTACTGTAACACAGCAAACTTGAACAGGGACAGATGTTGAGAAAACACCAAACAGCTAATAACTATCCAGTTGATTCTGCAGCGATGCCCTCCTGATCACAAAACTGCCAGAGGTAAACTGGCTAGGGTCCTAGCTATATTCACAAGCATGTTGGTGTTTGAATTAAACATAATGATTGACACTGTCACTGCATCTCATGCTGGCACTTTACAGACTCACAAAATGACATAAGAAACTCCACGGTCACAGCTGCCTTTCATTTCTACATTTCATGTCGTCATTGGTTGATTAGCCAGGTTTTTCCGGGCTGGTGAGCTGAAACAGATAATATTTGAGTTTCCGATTGTATGTATAGAGACTAGTGGTATTTTTGAAATGTTGTACAGTTAATTAAGAAGGAAATACTGACCCAGTGAGTCAGCACCATACTTGAAATTGGAACTAAAGAAAACCTCCAAACTCTGTCAGTTTTGTGGATGTGCATGTAAAACTCAAGTTCTGAAACAATACTAAAGTCAGAAAGTTGACAAACAACCAGTACGTTCCACCGGAGCTTATAACCGATGAAGATGAAGAAGAAATACATAGCCTGTTAACAAAGAAGACCTTTGTTTGTTAATTATAATCGTAATTTGATTTGAAATTACCATTTTTTATCAGAAACCTGCCAGGGAAAACTCTAAATGTGATCCGTGGACCAATTTGGCACGACATAAATTGGATGTGGAGAGGGCGCTAGAAAACTTTGTGGATCTGGACTATGTAATTGTGAGACCAGCTATCGTTTATGGTCTCGGAGATCGGAATGGATTGAGTAAGTTTGTTAGTATGTTAAGTTAGATAGTACACTAATATGGCTATTTGTCGTGTATGGTCTTGCAGAAAGGAACAGATTGAATAGGTCCTTAAATACATTTTATGGAATTGTACGTTAGTAAGACTAGCTGTTTTAAAAGGTTGCCGGAGATAGGAGCAGATTTAGCTAGTTATGAGTTGTGTTTTTTCATGGCACCCCCTTTGACATATACATCAGCATCTCACTGTACTGGACAGAAGTGATGTTATCAATGCCATGGGCTACACTTACCGTACCGAGGAGCAGGCTAAAGGACATGACCCTGTTTCCCTGTCTAGACTGATGCAAATGTGGATGCAGCCTGGATCTGACTCTTTGACATCTACATCAGCATCTCACTGTACTGGACAAAAGTGATGTTATCAATGCCATGCGCTGCACTTACCGCACCGAGGAGCAGGCCAAAGGACATGACCCTGTTTCCCTGTCTAGACTGATGGACATGGGGGTGCAGCCTGGAGCTGCCAGAAATAAACATTTCACTAAGGGGACAAGACGTTTCATTGACCAACACAGTACAGGCGTCATCAGTCGTTTTACACTTGTGGAGTTTTATTTGTTATGTGAATTTCCAGAGGGCTGTAATGTTGGGTCTTGTCCTAGTTATTATTGTTGAGCCATTAGTGTGCATGTCTGCCACTGACTTCCACAGAACAGCTTTCATTAGCAGCCAACATATGTGCACTCTGTGCACTGCACACCGCTTAGTTGGTTAGTTTGCCAGAATGGCATCCTGTTATACAAGTTTCTGTAAAACATATTTTTTTTTTCAGAGTAGGGTAGCTGGCACCATGCCCAACCCTTCTCCTTTCTCAGCCTGGCTTAGGACCCACAGTGGCAGATATAGTGGGTAATCTCTTGCTCTAGTGTCAAGACTTTCCTAGATAATCCTTTGGGTCTTTTCTCCAGGTCAAGCGGTGTGTTGGGAAATGAGCAGGCAGATAGACTGGCTGGCTTTGCACCACTTGGTGGTGAATTGAAGTATGACAAGTTAGATATTATGAAGGCTCTTTTGGGAATGAGTGAACAGGGTGGAGGCTCATTTGGATCATTAACAACTGTTTTTACTGCATTTAAACAAGATACCCAAGGAATCTACTCTTTAAATATTTGAAGCATCATCATAAACCACTTCTGTTGTTTAGCGTCATTGGAAGGATTAATTTGTGATCCATGGTTCACTGGCTTCACTGGCTATTGCCATCCCATGAAGGCCTGGAGTGTCTTTAATTTTGTCGATTCATATTTTCCATCCCTATCCTCTTAATTCGAAGTCGGAGTACATCTGCCTGTGAGGCAGGGAACGGTAAAAGCCAGTAAAATGGTTGTACACGCAAAACTCAGGTCCAGGTAAAAGCCAAACAAAAAGTCCAAATGGACGATCTACCAGGACCTTTCGCCGGAATTCACAACCGGTGAACGCAGAAGACGAAGAAGAACCTCTGTCCTCTTGTACATGTGGCTGATTTTCTGAGGTGTAATGTCTGTGATGGTATTTGATCTTGCTGTGAATATTAAGTATAACTGTATATTTCTTCTCTCCAGCTCCAAGGCTGATCATTGGTGCTATATATAAATACATGCAGCAGAAAATGCAGGTGGGTTTTAGTTAATTATCTATGCCCGACTCGCTAGCGTAGTTGATTAAACCGGACTGCACGGAGACCGGGTGACAAACTCCTTGTGGTCCGGGCTCACGCCCGGGGTAGGCAGAAAAGCCACATTTCTCCCAGATTTACGGTATCATGGAATCAAGGCCAAAGGGTTGCGATATCCATAATACCGAGCCTAAGGGTCTTAACAACTCATGGCGTCTGGATACTAAAAAAAAGTTAATTATCTTCTCCTTGTCAGTGTTTAAGTCTTAGTTATCTTTTCCTTGTCAGTGTTTGGGAGCGGCTGGATACTCGACTGCGGATACAGAGATTGTGGTTTTAAACTTGAACAGGCTAGAATTTTTCCAGAAATAACCTTCGGTACCAGGTTGTCCCAGGCTTAAATGGGTACCAGGTGAAGTCCTGGAAAGTAAAGGTGGCGGGGGCGATGTTGACTACATCACCCATGGAGTTCCGACTGGTCTATACCAATTGCTCCTCGGCCTGTTTACCGCCAAAACCCACCAAAACAAGGGGAACATTGTTTCACAGCACACCTGACAGCTAACCAAACACAGAAACAAAAATAGAATTAGATAGCAGTTTATTTGTTAAATCTGATGCGACGATAATTAATGGAATTTTGCATAGGAAACAGTCTTGTCATCGCAGATAGTTTTTTTCAAACAACACCCAGGAAGGCTTTTTACATGGTCATCACCTTGCAGAAATTACGAAAACCAAATTGACTACATCATGACGCAACAGAGATGGAAGACATGCATAGCGTCCGCAAAAACACTGCCAGGTGCTGACGGTGATACAGGCCATAAATTGCTTGTAGTGAATCTCAAGTTAAAACTGAAAAAAGTTCTAGAAGGACTGCATTACTTTGATTCGTCTTTCACACCACCAGAGTTTGGTCTTGTCTTGTCTTGTCTTGCCTTGTCTTGTCTTGTCTTGTCTTGTCTTGTCTTGTCTTGCCTTGTCTTGTCTTGTCTTGCCTTGCCTTGCCTTGTCTTGTCTTGTCTTGTCTTGCCTTGCCTTGTCTTGTCATGTCTTGTCTTGCCTTGCCTTGTCTTGTCTTGTCCACAATTGCCTACAACAGCGTAGTGGGGAGTCGCAGTTTTCTATCCTGTGCCAGGTGAGGTGTCTTGTCATTTTTTAGTTGCCATTGTTTGTTCGGTTTTTTGTCAGCTACAGCTTGGGTTTTGACAAGTGTTCCATTGGCAGCCTTGATTGAGAAACTGTCGAGCTAGGCAAAGTGATGTCATTTTGATTTCCCAGCCCTATTTTTGGCATGGCTTATCTTTGCAATGCGGTTGGTGGTCAACTTTACAACTCTATTTTAAAGAAATCACCCCTCGTTAGTCGACTTTAATGACATGATTGTTGCAGTTAGTGTTAGTGCCAGTTGGTTCATAACTTTGGCATCTTATTCTGACCTGTTTTGCTACCCTCAGTTTCTAGACATTTACATTGCTCAACTTGAATGGAAAACTTGAAGCACAACTAAATGAGATGAAGGCTTATTACAGGTTTTCAAAAACAGAGTATTACGACGCATTTTTGTACCTATCAAAGATGTTAACAGCGGGGAATGGAGTGTGAGAAGCGACAGTGAAATTCATAATCTGTTTAAATGACAGTTGATCACTGGCATCATGAGAGCTAATAGGTTGAAATGGCTAGGGCATATTGAGAGAATGTCAGAGGACAGAGAGGTAGACCATGAGGCAGACCAAGAAGATGATGGGGAGATAATGTCCAGATAGATCTGCAAACACTTGTTGACAACTGGAATGAGAAGGCCAACCAGAGAGATCAGTGGAGGCGGGTGATATCTGCAGCAATGAACCTCAAGAGCTTGCATTGCTGAAGAAGACGAAGAACTTGTATCGGCCATGAACCAATCAAGTATTCAATTATCATATTCTCACTGTGCATATCCTCAGATGCTGTGGACCAAAGATCTGAAGATGAACACAGTTCATGTTGATGACGTAGTCATGGCAATTTGGCACTTATGTTTCCATGGTAACCGTGGTGAAATTTATAACCTGGCGGACAAAGGGGACACAAGTAAGTTGGAAAAAATGTGGGCTTTGGTGAGGTTAATCATTGGTGTCTGGGGGCTTTGGTGAGGTTAATCATTGGTGTCTGGGGGCTTTGGTGAGGTTAATCATTGGTGTCTGTGGGCTTTGGTGAGGTTAATCATTGGTGTCTGGGGGCTTTGGTGAGGTTAATCATTGGTGTCTGTGGGCTTTGGTGAGGTTAATCATTGGTGTCTGGGGGCTTTGGTGAGGTTAATCATTGGTGTCTGGGCTTTGGTGAGGTTAATCATTGGTGTCTGGGGGCTTTGGTGAGGTTAATCATTGGTGTCTGGGGGCTTTGGTGAGTTAAATATTGGTGTCTGGGGGCTTTGGTGAGGTTAAATATTGGTGTCTGGGGGCTTTGGTGAGTTAAATATTGGTGTCTGTGGGCTTTGGTGAGGTTAATTATTGGTGTCTGTGGGCTTTGGTGAGGTTAAATATTGGTGTCTGTGGGCTTTGGTGAGGTTAATTATTGGTGTCTGTGGGCTTTGGTGAGGTTAATTATTGGTGTCTGTGGGCTTTGGTGAGGTTAAATATTGGTGTCTGTGGGCTTTGGTGAGGTTAATTATTGGTGTCTATGAATATTCTAACATATTGTTGTGTTATGTTATTTTATCACAATCAACGTCACATTATCTGCACATTGTGAATTCTCAAGCGTGCTCAGTTCTCCGATGCAGCAGCCACTCCAAGTTACTTCTCCTAATTGTTCCCATGTGAAGTTGGTTATAATGTCTCCTGTCTCGGCCTCGAAGGAGGCATAGATGTGCTTCACTATGCTTTACTCCCAAATCATGCAATCGTCTTAGTCTCAGAGATTCGTCATCATCCACCAGTCCAGTCCTTACAGCGTTGGCGATATCTGCTCTGTCTATGCTTCTTTCCATATGCGTCGGCTCGCTCATTACCCTTTACACCCGCATGACCAGGTGTGTAGATCCACGTGAGGGAGGTTAAGTGCGATTTTTTTAACGACAATAAATGTATTCAGACATTTCATGCATTTTTACATTATGTTTACTGGTACATAGCATATGTTCTGACATTGTATGTATTCTTACATTATATCTATTCTGACATTGTATGTATTCTGACATTGTATATATACTGACTTTGCATGTATTCTGACATTGTATGTATTCTCGCATTGTATGTATTCTCGCATTGTATTTATTTTAGCATTGTATTTATTCTGGCATTGTATGTATTCTGACATTGTATGTATTCTGGCATTGTATGTATTCTGACATTGTATGTTTTCTCACATTGTATGCATTCTCACATTGTGTGCATTCTCACATTGTATGCATTCTCACATTGTATGTATGCTGACTGTATGCATTCTCACATTGTATGTATGCTTACATTGTATGAATTATGACATTGTATGTGTTCTGACATTGTATGTATTCTGACATTGTATGTATTCTTACTCTGTATATATTCCTACTTTGTATCTTCTCCAGCTCAGGGCCTCATCAGCAGCCTCATCTCTGAACTATTTGACATCAACTACGATTTCCTGGGATCTATATTCTCCAATTTGGCCAGGGTTTGTGACGTTATTTACTAATTAATTTGAACGTTATCTTCATTGTTTGCTATTCTTCTTCTTCTTTGTGTTGTGTTTGCCGTCTGTAAACTCCAGTGGAAAGTTCCGGTTGTTCGTCCACTTCTGGACCTCGGTATTGTTCTAGTATCTGAGTGTTGCGTGCACATTCATTTTAACAGATCTATCTTATCTGTATGCAGATTGTTGGTTCCTTGCTTCTCAGGCAGATGCACTCCGACTTTGAAGGAAAACCCCCTGCCCTACCCCATTAGTCTCTTATGACATGCTTGTTGGGAAGGCAGTGGGTTGGTTCTTGTTCTCCCCACAAAGGGGCCCCCAGAACCCACACAATGAATTGTTTGCTTTGTTTATAATTGGAAAATTATCATCTTTTTCCCCCCAGTTATTATTTTTTTTTTATGTTCAAAAATGTGAAATCTATTGTTGCTTGGCAGCTACACCGCTTGCCTGAAAGTCCTTAGTTCAAATCTGCGTTGAGATGGAGTTTTTTGAAAATTACCTTAGCTCCTAAGTTTGACCCAGCTAAACTTTTCCGGTCCTAAAAGATTGTATCTAATATCTGAGACAGCAAGCATGACAACACTGAACTCATGGGTATACTGATTTCACAGGGGTCAGATACCCAATCCTCGAAGAAAACACATATTTTGTCTGAGAGTTTTGAAAGAATCCATCCCTAAACCTAAAATATCTTCTTCTGGTTCTTTGTGTTTACCAGCTGTGAGCTCCAGTGGAAAGTTCTGGTTTTTTGTCCATTTCTGGACTTAGTCTTGTTCCAGAATCTGTGTGTTGTGTGCACATTCTATCACATATCTGACTTATATGTATGCAGATTGTTGGTTCCTTGCCTCTCCGGCAGATGCACTCCGACCTGGAAGGAAGCAACCCCTCCCACTCCCAGTCGATTCAAGACATGCTTGTTAGGCAGTCAGTAGGCCTGTTCTTGTTTTCCCCCACAATGGGACCCCGGAACCCACATGGGGAACCTAAAATACAAAACATAGATAACTTACTGAGTGGTCTTGTCTTGTCTTGTCTTGTCCACAATTGCCTCACAGCGTAGTGGGGAGTCGCAGTTTTCTATCCTGGGCCAGGTGTGTTGCACGTGTTGTTGTTAGTCCGTGTTGCCTCAGGATCTCTGATATATTGTCTATCCATCGTACTCTCGGTCTGCCTCTTGCTCTAGGGCAGTAGTGCTGTTCGTTGTATGCTCGTAGAGGCAGTTGGTCGGTTTGCACTGAGTGGTACACATGCATATTATCTCACATGGTGTGTCGCTTGGGACTAAAAGAGTGAAAGTGCGTAGTAGAAGAAGTTCTGGGAAGTCAAGGAGGCCATCCAATACCAATTGATCTTTTTTTTTTTTTTTAAATATCCAGAAACCATGATTTGTTAACTCATTGGTTCAGTACAATGGATATCGCAACCCTTCCGCCTTGATTCCATGATAGATACCGTATATCTGGGATTAATGTGGCTTTTCTGCCTACCCCTGGGTGTGAACCCGGACCACAGGAAGTTCGTCACCCGGTCGCCGCTAAGTCAGGTTTAACCAACTGCACTGGCGAGCTGGGACTAGTATCAAATGCCCAGTGCCCCAAAAAATGTGAAGATGGTTCTTTACTTAGATGTAATTGGGGCATTTGTATCATTTTCAGTCCTTGTTTGAGTATCACTGGAACATATTTGGTCCCTGTTTATGTATCACTAGAACATTTTCATGTATTTTTTAGGCATATTGATTTTTTTGGAGTATAATTGGAACTGTAAGATAATTAATCATGAAAACATTATTTTTCATTTTTTCTGTGAGTTAATGAATGCTGAAAATATGGTCTTTTGGGTTTTCTATAGGATAAATAATTTTGGAAACAGGATCTTTCAAATTTTCTATGTGGTAATTTATTTTGAAAACATGATCTTTAATGTTTTCTATGATATGAATTAATTTTGTAAATATGATCTCTCAGGTTTTCTGTGAGATAATAAATTTAGGAAACATGGTTTTTAAGGCTTTAAATTAGATAATTAATTTTAGAAACATGATCTATTAGGTGTTTTTTAATGAAATAATGAATCCTGATAAATCATTTCTTTGAGATAACCAATCCTCCAGTTTGTTCTCTCAGGTTAACCACTCCTCCAATTTGTTCTCTCAGGTTCGGATGACTGACATTGTTGACGACATCAATGAAAAACATATGAGGCCCTGGTCAGATGCCTGTCAAAGAGACGGCGTATCAAATACACCGCTCAATCCTTTCATTGACCAGGTAAGCAGAAAGGGAAAGAGGCCATTACATATCTTGTAATATGCGAGGAGATACCTTCACCTCTGTTCCCGGGCATGCAGGTTTGAATGGCAATGAAAGAGCTGACAGATTAGCTGGTTTTGCCTTAGCTGCAGTTGGCCAGCCCATAGATCGCATCAACATTGTTATTGTCCTTAGATAGTTAGGACCATCGAAGGTTCAGTACTAACACACACAAAAACTCATCTTCCTCGGTCTTCCGCTTGTTGCACAGGTGTATAACTTCAAAAATTTACTATAAGCATTGTGGAATTGTTTCTTTAAAAGGAATATAGAGAAATGAGTATTTTTTCAGGAAAAACCTGAAATTAAAAAATTACAAGGTTTGGCGTTTTTCTTTCTAGGTCACCAGGGCGAAAGAGTTAACTGTATTAATATATCTTGCAATGGCTATTACCAAGTCGTATTTTCTTTTAATGATGAAGGCTTTTTGACCACAGAATCAATTTTGTTGTTTATGATTGTGGTATTTTAAAGGAAACAGATTTTTCTTGTCTGAGCTGATTTTTTTTTTTTTTTTGATGACTTGTTTTTCCACAGGAGCTGCTGTACAACAAGCCTCTCTACATTGATGGCTCCAAGATCGAAACAACAGGGTTTGTTTATACAGTCCCTCAGCTGAGGGTGTCCAGTCTACAACAGGTCAGTGGCAAGTCTGAAAATCTAATTCGTCTTCATTCTTTGCATGAGAGGCGAGGAACCAGTAGTCTGCATACAAATAAGACAGATTTGTAAAACGGGTGTGCCCGCAACGCTCTAGTTCTTTAGCATGGGAAAAAGGGTCCAGAAGGGGACGAATAACCAGAACTTTCCACCTGAGTTTAAACAGGTGAACATAAAGAAGACGTAGGTAGTTTGTCCTCTTTCTGATGGCAGTCTGTAGGATTGGCACCTCAAAGAGGAGAGTCAAATAGGTGTTACTTGTGTGGGTTGGGCGCACGCGTGTGCGCACACACACATGTATGCACGCGTGCACACACATGTACGCATGTAAACACACATGTATGCACACACATGTGTACACACACACATATGTATGCACACACATGTACACACACACACATATATACACACACATGTATGCACACATACATGTACTAACACACACATGCACACATACGCACATGTAAGCATACACACGCGTGTGTAGTCTTCTTCGTCTTTGCATTTACCAGCTGTATACTCCAGTGGAAAGTTCTGGTTGTTTGTCCACCTGTGGACTTCAGTCTTGTTCTAGAACCTAAGTGTTGCGTGCACATCCGTTTAACAGGTCTGACTTTATTAGATGCAGGTTGTTGTTTCCTTGCCACCCAGGTTGATGCACTTGGACTTTGAAGGAAGCTCCCCAATTAGTCGATTCTCACAACATGTCTAGTTGGTTGGGGAGTGGGTCTATTCTTGTTTTCCCCCACATGGGGCCCCCAGAACCCACACGGCGAACCCATGTAGTAAAAGGTGACTAATTAGGGGTGTTTCCTTCAGAGTCTGAAGAGTGCATCTGCCTGAGAGGCAAAGAACTAACAGCCTGCACACAAATGAGCCAGATTTGTAAAACAGATGTGCATGCAAAACTCAGGTACTTGAACAAAACCAAAGATCAGGACTGGACAAACAACCAGTACTTTCCGCCGGTCAACGCAGGCAAACAAAAGAGACAGGTACAAATCTGGAAGTCTTGTTCAACTTCTTCTTCTTCACGTTCACCAGCTGTAAACTTTATAGGAAAGTTCTGGTTGTTCGCCCACTTCTAGACTGCAGTCCTGTTCCAGAACCTGAGTATTGCGTGTGCATCTGTTTTGCAGATCTGACTCATTTGTATGCCTACTGCTGCTTCCTTGCCTCTCAGGCAGATGCACTCTAACTTCAGCTGTATAACATTCATATTGGGACCCCTCCTGGCTATGTAGTAAGAAGCTTGAAGATAAGACTGAGGCAGTCACAGCAGCTTTCTGCTGGCTTGAGAACAAGCTGTGCACACATATGATTGTAAGTGACTTAACAAAGCTTTTTGAGAAAGGTGGAGACCAGCATGCTTCATGCAGAATGGCAAGCATCACTTATAAAGTCCCTGCTGGTTAGCTGTCTTTGGATTATTTTCTCCAGTAATGCAGGAGTGTTGGGAAATTAACAGGCAGACGGATGAACTAATTCTGCACCAGTGGGTGGTGAATTTATGCAGGACAATCTAAATGGGGTTAAGGCCCTTTGAGAGCAAGCGAAAAGTGTGGACGCACAAATCGATCATCATGGTCTGGAGTGAATGGTACAGCAAGGAGTGACCAGGAGATCTGATTGACATTCTGTACTCAGAGGAGATTCAAGATGGACATAAAATCAAAATACTATTGGCACCATCAGAATTGCAACCCTCTACTGGCTGCTGAGGACGGAGTGCTTATGAAAATGTCTCAAGTGCTGTGTGGGGAAGGGGGGGGTGGGGGGTGTGATGTAAGGATCGTTGGCTGTTTCTAGGTCAGTCAGGTGCCGTCGTCGCAGTGGAGGTTGGCTGCAATGGATCTCCAACATACAGTATCTCTTGTCTTGGTTGTACACTCTCTCAGACTGCTGTTCATCCATCTCTTGATGTTGTCCTCCCACTTGTATCATTGTCTACCATTTGCTGTCTTGCCATTAACTCTTCCCTCCAGTCTGTTTTTTTTTTTTTTAAATAGCTTTTTATACCTTCTAATTTGGCTAGAGTATTTTAGTTGTCTCTTCCTTATTTCCATCAGTAATTCTCTTCTCATTTGCAGCCCTTCTTGAACTTCTGTATTACATTTACATTGTTTTTGTTGCCATGAAATACGTCCTATTCTTCCATATATCGAACAACGAACGAACAAATTTTATTTTTAAAGGCCACATTTCCAGGGACTCATAGTTCTTTTTCACGTTCACCAGCTGTAAACTCTGGTGGAAAGTCCTGGTTGTTCGTCCACTTCTGGACTGCAGTCCTGTTCCAGAACTTGAGTGTTGCGTGTGCATCCGTTTCACAGATCTGACTCATTTTTTAGGCAGACTGCTGGTTCCTTGCCTCTCAGGCAGATGCACTTCGACACTAAAGGAAGCACCCAGTAGACTCTTACGACATACTTTTGGGTAGGCAGTGGGTCTATTCTTGTTTTCCCTATAACAGGGCCCCAGAACCCACACGGGGAACTCATAGTTCTAATTTCTAGCTGCTTGTTCATTGTCGCGGTTTCTGCACCATGCAGCAGGGTTGAGTTTACATAACATTTGACGATTCAAATTTTTAGTGTCATCTTCTTCTCTTCAACTTCTGATTGTTCGGCCACTCCTGGACTTTGGCCTTGATTCAAAACTTGAGTTTTAATGTGTCATATTATCTCTCTAGCTCTTTCTAATGCCCAGTGAAACCATGTAAATTATATTTGGCTTCCATTCAAAATGGACGTTAGGCAAGATCACTATTTTGGGCCGTGGCAAATTTTTTGCTTGTGCCAGACGGTGGCTATTGCATTTTGGCTTCATTTGTATGCTGAAAGGATATAGTTTTGTCGCCCAGCTACTGAGTTTATTGCATGGTGTGACACTGTGAGCTGCTGATTTCATTTGGAATGTTTTTTTACTGTGACCACCGTGGTACTGTGAATTATAGATTCAGATAGTGGTGTGTGGCCTGTCGTCGCAATAGTGGTGGTGCCCTTATGTGATTAAAATTGATTGCCTGCATCTGCTGATCTGTTGGTAACTCTGCCACCGTCAATGATAAACTGCATTTCTTATGTCGGACTATTTGTATTAGCACTTCTGATGGCTACCGTATGCTTTTAATTTGTGTGTATGCTAGTACATATGCTGAGACAGCAGTAATCTTTCCACAAGGGACTGTGATAAACATTCTTTGTGTTTTTTTTGGGGCTGAGGAGCGAAGAAACTATAGGGTGACCCATTTCCTATAAAGCTGAAACTAAGATTACTAAGATTTACAAAGATGTAAATTTTTTTTGTTCAGGTCCTAGATGATTACCTCTCCTTGGGACTGATGCCTCGAAGCCTGGTGGGCAACGAAGTCTTCTATTCCCCACCTGACGACAATGCAGAGGCGGGATTCGAACTAGGTGGTGATGGAGATAGAGCAGGTGATAACGACTTAGCCCAAGGCAGTGGGACCAGTTGACAGCATGATCTCTAATATTTGTGATTTTATTAATGGATAGGTAGGAGAAGGGAGGTAATTAAAATGGTGGTGGCCTCTTGTAACATCTGCGATGTATTTAAATCAAAATGTTGCGGTGTTTACTTAAGTAATTTTAGCTTTTTTGTTTTACATCCAAATTTTTTTCCCCGTGGAAATATCAGAAACCAAAGTACGGTTAGGTTCACGTTAATTTCCCCACCCAAATAGAGTAGGTCACTTTTCATTCACAAATTTATTGGGCTGGTCGACTTTCCTGAAGGTTACGGGTGTGTCCCGCTCTGTTGTTTGCTTTCAGTGATGTCTTGCATTTACGTTTTCATTCCGAGAAAGAGAATGCCTGTGATATAGGCAGCACTCTCTAAGGGTGTGGTGTTAGGACCAGTTTCTCCATGTGTTTGGAGTGTTAAAAGCACTGGCGTGCTGAAATATATAACACGCAATGTCAGCGGCATTGCGGCACACCCCCATAACCTTGTGCCAAGGTGACAGGTTCAGGAACTACTAATCAGAAGTGAGCTAGTATGTATATGGGCGGGGCATGGGGAGAACAACATTACTTTTACCCAAAGTATGTATGTCAGCTTTTTACTCTGTAAGTCCCCAGCATTTGTTAATTTTGTCTCATCAGTCCCCAGGATTTGTTAATTTTGCCTCATCAGTCCCCAGGATTTGTTAATTTTGCCTCATCCGTCCCCAGGATTTGTTAATTTAGCCTCATCAGTCCCCAGGATTTGTTAATTTAGCCTCATCAGTCCCCAAGATGTGTTACTTTGGTCTCATCAGTCCCCAGGATTTGTTACTTTTGCCTCATCAGTCCCCAGGATTTGTTAATTTTGCCTCATCAGTCCCCAGGATTTGTTAATTTTGCCTCATCAGTCCCCAGGATTTGTTAATTTTGCCTCATCAGTCCCCAGGATTTGTTAATTTTGCCTCATCAGTCCCCAGGATTTGTTAATTTTGCTTCATGAGTCCCCAGGATTTGAATTTGGTTGCAGTAAAGACTTATGTCTGACAGTTCAGTGGAAACACTGTGAGACATAAATAATTGCAAGTATTGTGCCACTGCTTGCGGGAAGATGACGGACAGTGCTGATAGCTTTAAAAGGTCCTTTTGCCATGACATTTCTTGTGTGTGAAAACAGTAACAACTATTAAACTTGAAATTATTTGTTTGAATGGGGCAAGATTTTGTTAGAGGAAAAACAAACAAAGACACTAGTGATCGGAAATACAAAGGTTATCGACAACATTAAATAATTGTTATGTAGTGAATGCTATCAGGCAAGAGAAGCAGGGGCAGACCAGGATGAAGGTGGTCACTGGACATAAAAGATGCCTTAGGTAGGATAGTGCATGAGGTGGTTGGCGAGGGGCCTTTTTTTCCCCTCAGGTGAGCTGTAATAGCAGCAATGTTCTGTGTAGGGCCTACCACATGGTAAATGAATGTAAAATAGAATGAAATGGAAGAATCAAGTGTGAGCCTAATGTGAAGTATAACGGCATCAAAGATAGTAAATAAATGTCCCTGCAAAACACCACAACATCTAGCATGAGAATGGAGGTGGAGGGTCTGCAGCTCTCTGGTGGCTAGAGAACAAGATGCATACACATGTCGTAATTGTAACAGATTCTGAAAGGTGAAGACAGGGATGCTTCGAGCAGAGTGGCAAGCTTCACTGGAAAGGTCACAGGTAGTGAGCATACTTGGGATCTTTTCTCCAGGCCACGCCGGCAGAGTGGGTAATGAACAGGCTGAGAATTGACTCGATCTGCACCACTGGGTGGTGAATTGATACATGACAAGGCAGATGTGGTCAGGGCCCTTTGGGAACAAGCAACGGAATCAGTAGAGAAAGAAGATTATTATGTCCTGGAGAGAATGAGGCACCTGGGTGTAACCAGAGGTTCTGGCCGGCTCACTACACGCAGAGGAAAGGCAAGACGGACATCTAATCAGTATTGGAACTCTGCGCTGGCTGCTGAAGATGAGGACGGAACACACATGGGAATGCCCCGAGTACTGTGATGTCAATTCTCGACTCAACTCAACTCATGTCAAGTGTGGCAAAACTGACACCTCGTGTGTTTCGGTAAAGCTCACTATTTCTTAATCCTACTTGAACGTCTGGGCATCTGTGGCTTAGGCGTTACCAAACCTGCTTTATAATGCCGGAGTGCCAGGTTCGATTCCAGTTGCAGGCGATTTGGCAGCAGACTTCCTTGCAAGTTTGTACAACTCCATTGTTTATTCCTTCTGAGTGTCTGAATATCTTGTGATGGATAGTGGGTGTATTTTTCTTTTGTTTTAATGAATAAATCTCAAGAACAAGGTGGAGCAGGTGAGATACCATTATCCAAGACGTCTTGGAAAATGGGTTAGTTAAAATCTCTAGTGATATATATCTGCTGCAGGTAAACTAGGAAGCATATTAAGTAGTTTCTGCCGTCTGCTTGGATCCTAATTTTACAGCCAGGAGAAATCTCTAGGAGTAGTGCAGGGTATAATATTACTTTTTTTTTTTTTTTTAAATAATATGCTGATGGATGTTGCTGTTAGTGATTACTCGTTTTATGCGTCTTTATATATTTCCACACGCGCACATACACACAAGTTAATACATTTTTAACGAATTTGCCAGTGACCTGTTCTGAATTTCTAATGGGATCGTGACTTTTTTTTGTTGATGGGGGGGGGGGGGGATGTTTGCAAGGCTTGACATCCTTAACAATAATATAGGTCGGTCTACAAGACCACGGCATGGTTATTAAAAATTCTTTCACACTTTTAAGGCTTTCATGTACAGCGCCCTGGTAACTTTGTTATATGGCTGAATGGAGTCTGTGGGGTTTGCTCCTATTGGAGGAGCATCCAAGTGGTGGTATTTTTGGTTACCAGATTGTCAACTGTTAGGTCAGCAATCCTAGTGGGGGGAAAAAGGGTTGAAGTAACTGCTGCTTTGGTACTGAGAGAGTTAAGTTGAAGGCAGAAGTCCAAATGTCATTGCTCAGAGCTCTTCTTCCACCAAAGTTTAATTATAATTTTGTTTAAATGGCAGACTAGACAACCAGCTCTGACTTACTGCTGATGCTGCTGCTTCTTCTTCTCCTCTTCTTCTCCTCCTCTTCGCTGCTGCTCTCTTCCTTTTGTGGATTCAAGTGCAAAGACATTCTTATATTGTTCTCAGGATTTCTTTATGTGTTTCTTATCTAAAGCCAGAGTCTTTGCTCCACCTCATAGTTCATTGGAAAGCTCCACATCAGTGATTCCTTCACACCATTTCATTCCTTCAGTTCTCGCAGGCATCAGTTAATGACTATTTGTAGTTTATTAGTTATTCTTGACTTTGTTCTCCATGTTTCAGCTCCAGACAGAGGTGCTGGTTTGACATTTCACCTGTGACTTTACAACTTGTTTTTATTTTTGTTTCTACAGCTTTTTTTTTTTTTTAATTGACTGCCATTACTTTTGTTTTCTTTTTGTTTCTTTATTTTAAATATCATGTCTTTGTGTTGTTATACAAACATAACCTCTGAGAGTATATCAAAAGTCGCATTAATGCGGATAAGCTTTTGCCATACATAAACTTCCTTGCTGCCATATAGCAACATATCATTTGTGTGTGTGTTTTTTTTTAAATGTGTGTATTTTATTTACACAGACACCAGAGCATTTGTTGTAATGCAAGAGCACTGATTATTATTTGGCATAAATACCAGAGCACTGTTTATTATTTTATGTGAATATCAGAGCAATATTTGTTATTGCACGTGAATATCAAAGCACAAGCAATTATTGGTCATGAATACAAGAATATAGTGATTGTTATTTAGTGTGAACTGCACAATATAATGAATATCAAAACATTGCGATCAGAATATAGTAGGTTGTTTTGGGTGAATACCAGAATATAGAGAGTTTTTTGGAGTGAATGCCAGGATACAGATGGTGTTTTTGAATGAATACCAGACTATAGGGAGTTTTTGTAAAGGGTCACTTGAATGAATACCAGACTATAGTGAGATTTTGTAAGGGGTCACTTGAATGAATACCAGAAAGTAGTGAGGTATTTAATATGAGTATCAGAAGTAGTGTCTTATTTGATACGAATACTAGAATATACTTAACATAACATAACTCTTGACCCGTTAGGGTCGTGGAGGTGTATTGATGGAAAGCACTAGCACATAAAACCCGCCATCTTTCTGTGTCTTTTTTCATGTTGTTCCAGCGTAAAATGGATACCAGGTAATGTGGGAAATAACTTTTTGCGACATGATAAGAAGGAGTGGCTGGTCGATTGGTTGCAGTGTCTGGCTTGTGCAGGAGACGCGACTTTGACACTCACTGAGGTGCTGTCAGGGGCAAAAATAAACACTATAGCCTTCACAGTCCCGGGCGACAGCATTAACCATACAACCTTAAATCTACACAGGCTTGAAAAAAAAAAATACTACACACAGACGGTAGCGATGTTACAAATAATTACATCATGCTTTGAAATGCTGATTGGTCAGTGTAAGAAGGTGTGAGCAGACAAAATGAAGAATGGGAAAAAAGTTGAGAAAAAAAAAAGAAATTAGAGAGCAATTAAAAAGATGATAAATTTAAGAAGAGTTGGAATAAGACGATGTGTGTACATGTGATCAGATAACATTCCCAAATTTTGCTGCGATCAGACTTAGCAGAAAATGAACCAAAATGTTGAATATTTTTCCATATGACTTATTCCGTACAAAGCAGTCCATCCTACACTGATCAGCTTTTCATTTCACATTTACTTATTCTGTACTATCAGGCACATTATTCTGTGATTGCTTACTTTTGATTTTTTAACCATTTTCCTGGTTTTTTGTTGTTGTTGTTTAATAATTATTTGTTTCACACATTTTATTTTTCATAATCATCTTTTTCCCCCTCCTTATCTTTTTATTCTTTATTTTTTTATCCCTCAACTTTTATTGGCTGGATCTCATTATTC